CTCCTAATATTAGGGGAGGCTGAGACTTTAAAACTGTACAGAAATGTCTGGCTCAGCCCTTGAGAATTCAAGGAGACCAGTTGACGAGTTCATCATATTGTTCAAAAGAAGAACGTTCGTGCCCCAACCTTTATTAGTTGACAAGTTCATATTGTTCGGGAGTTTTACTGCATTCCCCCATCATTCATGAAGAATAAAAGCCCGGATTCAGAGTTCCCTAAATTTTAATATAAAGTCGTTGAATAAATAAATCATTCTGGCCCAGGAAGACACAGAATCGAGAAAAAAGATGCAATGAAACAAGTTTCCGTAGTGGGTCAGGTGTTAAAAAAACCTCCCAATGAACTGTAAATGAAAGCTTTCAAGCGAATTAGGAAACGATAGACAAACGCTTCCATTGCAAGCATTCCCGGGTAGCGGATGCTAAAGAAGTGAAGGCACTGAAAAAGAAAAGAAACTGGCTAACGTACAGTAGAAATTTATTTGTCAATGTTTTACTGTTATGATGACCCGTGCATAATTTGGTTGGTAGACTAGTTCTATTTGCCAGCATTTTGCATACCAAGTTTGCCAGTAGATCTTTTATTTTCTGCATCATGCTTCCTTCGTTAATCCAGAAACAGGAGAAAGCATCAAGATGGCATTATCGCCAAGACACAGTGAATTGACAACGAACAGTACACAACTGACTCTGGTGCTCTAGTCACCAGTGATGTCGAGTTTCGGACCTCAATGCCCGATAAAAGGGAGATTTAGCACAAAAATTTCAATACAAGAAACCTACTGAATACCACTGCAATAATAGTAGTATAGCATGGGAATTTCTTAATTGTAAATCTGTAGCTCCACAGAGCTGGAAGAAGCCTGAAATGTTCCCATCTAAGCTGAAGTAGAGCGTGGCATGATAAGCTATTCATCTTTGTACCTCCTCTCTACCTCCTCCATGCTCTGGATGTCCTTGTAATACCTGCAAATGCGGTAGATAAACCTGCACAAATACCAGGAAGAAAAGGGAATGACTTCACCGCTGATGAGAAACAGAGAAGGACACAACAAAAACATGAAGCAAGGTTCAGGGGGTGCTGTATGCACCAATACAGGAGGACAGCTGCAGCACACAGAATCACATTCCTTTGAGCCTTGTAGATCTGCAGACACCAAACAATCCAAATTAGAGATCCAAAAGAAACTGGCTTCTTCTGGGGAAAGTGTAAGCATACATGGAGCTTCTTTGAGCGGTAATGCACACTCATACAAAAGCACACGGAGACACACACACACACAGAGCGTGTGTTATAGTAGGTTATGTTCACCAAACAGCTAAAACATAGGCCAATTACACTACCAAGAGCAATTGAAGTAATCTAAGTGGATCAAAAACAATCCAAGGAAACTCTAGCTAACCAAAAGCATTTCAACGTGAAGGTACTGGAGTTTATTGCCATAAGAAAATAATGGCAGGTCCAGATCTTAGAACATTATGGACCAAGATGTGCAGAAGTTTGGGTGCCAGGGAACAACGTAGGAGACCTAAAGAAAACTGGGAGGTGGTTTACATGGGATCAAATCCTCATTTGTCATCAAACACTAGCACAAATTAGTGTTACCGGAAAGACAACAAATTCATATAACTTTCAGGCACCCTTAATAGGTAGTTTTTGCATATTCATCAGAAGACAATTCACTTAAACTTATGATGTTCTAGTCCATCAGTGCTATCTGAAATACTATCAAAGCTTGATTAGTGCCAATGTAGAAACAAATGGTGTGACAGCCATTGGAATACAGACTAGGACACCAATCCATCGGGAACAAGAGAAAATTAATGACATGTGAGGGACAAGACAACCTGAACCCTGCCTAAAACTCATTTAAACAGTCAATAATTCTTAAAGACATTTCATATTTACATATAAATAAAAAATTTTGAATAAATGTATAACTTGGTGGATCACATCATGACCAGTACAGAGCAGAGGTAGTATGAACCACAACGAAAAGCTGCTCTTTGAATCCTGGCGAATGTACTTTACCCCTTCTTTGTCTTGAATTACTCAATTCTATTTTCAATGCAGCTTTAAGTGAAACAGCCTTAAGAAATGAAAAGTGAAGAATCAAGATTTTTCTCAGCCTACAGCAACATCACTGTTAGTCCACTTCATTGCATGACATACCTCATGCTCTCCTATACCACCGCAATGAATCTTAAATGCTTCATTCTCTTTCAACACTTACTAATCTTATATATACAAAAAAAATAGCCCAGTTCCACATTATGACATTTACATGCTTTAGAGAATCTACATAATCCGATTACCAGATAACAGAAACCCAATTTGCAGAAAGAACTACATCTATCGCTCCTCCTAACACTCTACCACTCAATTCCAAAATTCAAGTCAGTCGTCCAGCAAATGAGGCTCCCACAGAGAACTCCTACAACCAAATGTCCCAAAAAGCTGATCAAATGATATACAACAAACAAACTGCAACCAATAAAATTAAAAGAAACCTAAAATTTCCCATCCAGTACAAACCCATTTGGTCAATAAATTCTCACATTCCAAGCAATCACATCCAATCTAGCAAACCAAGTATAACAGCCCACAAATGGTGCAAGTAAAACAAACACTCATATCCAATCTAGTCTTCAAAGTAAATTCATAAAAAAAAAAAAAACATTGTTACCGATTTTTCATAGCGATCCCTCTCAGAAGCAGTGCAGATCTCTCCAGTACACATCAATCTGTGCTCTTGCTTCCAGTATATATCTATCAACATTTTCAAAATAAAATTGAAAAATAAATAACCCGAAATATATAAACTCAGTGGAAGCAAATAAAAACTAAAAGCGAGTACGAAATTATAAGCAAATAAAACTGCTAAACAAATGAAAACAAAGCCCTCACCCATGAGCTGGAAAACGGAGAAGGGGACGATGAAGAGTGAAGGTTGAAGAACAAGGGAAACAAGGGATACCATCTTTGATTTTATGACCTTCGGCGTCGGTACAGTTAAAAGGATCGCCGTCGCCGCCTCCGCCGCGACAACGTACGTCAGTATAATCCATTGCAGAGCCATTTTCGACTTCGATTTTTTCTTTTTCTTTTATTTGGTCTGTTTTGGGTTTTTGGGATTTGCTTCGCTTGCTTAATAGCCAAGTGTAGAAGAAGGTTCTTTAGACTTTGCAAGATTAGAATCATAAAAAAAGCCAAAATAATAATAATGGGAAAATAAAAATAATAAATGATAAAGAGATGAAGGATAGTATGGGCTTTATTGCCTAAAGGGAGTGGGGATCGAGCTTAGTTCAAATAGAGCTTGTCCATTGAGCTTGTTGGGCCTAGGGACTCAGTTCTTGCTCCACACAAGAAGCAACCTTCAAAAGATTGCTAGTACTTGGGCTCGTAATTGGGTGTGGAATAGTCACTGACAAGCCACCCGGCCCAGTTATTTCTTATTTATTTTTTTGCCATTAATCATACCGTGTTGTAAAAGATTATTGGACAATTAGTATCACTAATTTTCATAGTCAACGTTATGAGAGAATATATTATTAGAATTCAATTGTGGATGTCATATGAATAATTGTAGGACCAAATTATACATTGAACTTGAAACTTAACCTCTCTCCATGAAAAATCGGAATCTTGTGTGTTTGGATAGGAGATTATTTGGAATAAATTTTAAAAAAATTATTGTAGTACTTTTTGCTGTAACGCATGTGAAACAAAAATGTAAGTGAAAAATATGTTTATGATGCAAGAAGGCAGATTTAGTGAACAGTAGTCCCTATTGTTTCCAAATTGAAAACGATCACTACAATATCACCCCCAAAAAAAAGAAAAAAAAGCCTTGCCTCTATTTCTTTTAATCCAATTGAAGCCTTCACTATCGGCACATTACGTCCCTAGCAGGCTGCAGGTAGCCTCCTAAGTAGTAACTATTGCTTTTGTCTTTTGTAAATATTGCTCTTGATGGCAATAAACGTATGCCATCCTACGAAAAAGATGATAAAAATCTTTTACAAGAAACTAATACGTTTTAATTTTTAATTTTTTTTTTCAGAATTTCACTCCATGCAAAATGAAGACAAGTACCAACTGCGCATTGTCAACGAAGAACAAACGAGTTTATCCTAAGAAGTCAAAAGTGTTACTTCTCACATCATTCAATGGGCAAGCAGTTTTCTTGGTAAGCACTTGTATATGATTAAGTCTTTGCAAACTTTAAAATTATAGACCAAGTCATGGATGATAAAATGTTTCTGGATTCTTTAACCTTCTTGATTCGTTTGCCGCTTTGCCAGGTACCCAACAAAAGTCTGAGACAGAGCAGCGGTCGAGGGGAAGAAGGATATTTGACTTCTGTTGATGCTTCTGTTTTTATGACCAAATCATACTCCAGTATTAATTTTTGACTACCATGTGTAACTACTTTTGCGGATGTTTTTGATGTGGACGGGAAATTTTCTTCTTACGCTATCTTACTGGAGACGATACTTGATAAAAATAAAAAATAAAAAATTCCCGTCAGTATAAATTGGCTCGATTAATAAAAACGAATTATTTTTTTCACAAAAAATTGTATGTTCGAATCTCACTACTGCTGTGTGTGAGGATTGTGTCAGTGGATAATTTGAAAGTACCACTTTAGGCGACTTGGCAATTGCCTTGGCTATGGTTTCACGGTGGTAACCGAAGTCCAGTCCAACTTTTTTTTCTATCCAAAAAAGGCCCAAAAAAAAAAAAATTCTCAAGCAATGATGGTTTATTAATGGGAGCTCATTAATTCGATTTGTTCCTTATGACTCATTAAATAATCCTTATCAAGATGAACAAAGTCAGCCTAAAGCCAGCTCAATCCACTGATACACATTAAGCTCCTGCAAACAGCCGCGTTGAAACTGGGGGATTGACTCGGCCAAACCTCAAAAGTCAAACATCCAACTTGGCCGTACTCACTATACTTACCTTAATTGCTCCAACCTGAACAATAACTCTCCCTTCCTATATTTCAGACGACCAAAATGGGGAGGATAGACAATGCCCCATCTCCCAAAATGAAGCATTTCAGCCATCCTCACGAGCTAGAGCTATGGAGCAGCACTACTTCTTTCCAATCTCATCAGCAAACCCTAATGCCAACAGACTCAACAACAACGACGACAATTCTTCGTTGTTCAGCTTGCCAACTTCCATCAACCGAAAACATGTACATCTGTCGCCCCTGCAACTTTTCTCTCCATGTAAGCTGTGCCCAATTTCCTCGAGTCTTCAACCACCCCGCCCACAAGAACCACGTCCTCACCCTCCTCCCTGTCGCTGCATATGCGGGGGGCATATTCAACTGCGATGCGTGTAACCGACGAGGCAATGGGTTCAGCTACCATTGTGGTAGCTGTGAATATGATCTTCATGTTTTGTGTGCTTCTAAGCCATTAAGGTTCACTCACCCGTCCCATTTTTGCCAGCTTGAGCTCACTTTTACAAACCCTTATGGTAATGCCAAAGGGTTCTCTTGCGATGTTTGCCACAAGTTTGGATCAAAACAATGGCTTTATAGATGCAGTGCATGTGAGTTTGATGTCCATTTGGATTGCACCACCGTCCCGACCCCGACGACGACCGCGCCGACACAAGTAAGTACCCCAGGGTCGTCGTTCGGGACGGTGGTTCAATTTCAAGGTCAGGGCATGACACCAACACCTACACCTGCTGGTGCACCCGTAAGTGCACCGGCATCCGCGATGGCGAGTCATTTTCTACAGCATCAAGGACCGTTTCCTACTCGGTATATTCATAACCAAGTCGGCTTAGGTCAATCGGCCCAACCAGCCCATCAACAGTCCATGCATAGCGCAAGAATGGTTGCAGATAACAGTACCCACAGACCACAGATGGGGCCGACAGATATGGCCTTGATGGGGGTGGGCCCGATTTTGAGTGGGCCAACGATAGCGGGGCCTGATATTTCAATGCCCAGTGCAAGTACGGGGCAATTGGGGAACTACTGGCCAATGGAGCAGGTAATGCATGGGCCACCAGTTGTGAGGCCTAATGTTTTGATGCATAGTGCAAGTGCGGGGCAATTGGGCTATGTTTCGCCGGTGGGGCACACGACGAGTGGCCTGATGAATTCTGCGATGCAAGGATTTGTCGAAGGTGGAGGACAACAGGTGGGGCAAAATTTGGTGCAAGGTGTGATTGGCGGTGGCGGCAGCGGCGGTGGTGGTTGGGGAGGGGATGGAACTTCTATCCCTGGGAGCCTGTTTGAAGACTCATTGTATACACAAAATTAGGAACTTATTTTTGGAAAAGTAAAGAAGAATTTTAGCCTAGAAATTGACATGCTTACCATGCGAAAACTGATACTACTACATATATGGTTCGAATTGTTTAAAAAGTTTTTTTTTTTTTTGTTTTTTGTTTTCTGAAAGAAAAGTAGTTCGCCATTTAGTATGAAAATAAATGTTCCAAGAGCCCAAGTAAGGAATAAATTAAAGTACAAGGATAAACATTTAATAGACAGATATTTGATAGGACACCTATTAATGTTACAAGGAAAAACAAATGATGTGATAGATACAACCATATATTGTTGGAGCAATTATCTTTTTGGCAACTTGAAAATAACCAAACTATTCTTATCAATGAAGTATGAAATACAAAATTCAATACATGCTAGTCAAGTACTACTAAATATTGAAGTATGAAATTAAACGAAAATGTGCCTGTATGTATATGATACAAGTTGAAAGCAGCAGGGCTACAACAATAATAGACATACAAGATTGGGATGTAGCCCCTCAGGCCAAAGCTGGTGGTAGTAGCCTAGTTAGGTGAGTACCACGCAAAGGTTCGAATCCTGGGTGCAACGGTCGGTGATGTTGGGCAGCCTCTCCCGACCCGCAGAGGAATAGTTGGATCATACGGTAATCAGTACATGGACACCAGATACCTCTGTGTTGACAAAAAAAAAAAAAAAAAAATTGGGATGTGCTAAGCCTATACCCCTACACTCTAAATCCATACTGCTAATGCATTAATGACTTGTATTACGAGTAATAGTAACTCGTACTATTAGCATTAAAAGTATTATTAAAAGTTATATCAAGTGTAGAATTAGGTTTTAGTGGTATGGATTTAGTATCATCGACAGAGATTTTACACCTTTAAATCTTAAAGGCATATAGTTAAAAGGGTGGTGCCATCTTTATTTCAATTGCAACCCCTCAATTTTTTGACAACTACAAAATAACCGAACAAAATTTTTGTGTTTGGATTGCATTTTTCGTCATTTTTCATGGAAAAATTACTGTAGCGATTTGATATATGTGAGGAAAAAAGGTGATAGGGAAATGTGATCACGGAAAACGATAATATTTTCCGACGGAAACAAACAATCCAAGCATGGCCTAAAGTTTTCCAATATTACTTCACTTTTGCAAACCCCCCCCCCCCCCCCCCAACCCAACCCAAAAAACACAAAAGTGTTAAAACATATTTCACAAAGCTATTATTATACTACTTCTACTAAATTTTGTTTTCTTAATATTAAACTTTATTTGTGTGTCCAGCCACAAAATTGCAAGTGAACCAAATATTCTAGTGAAAATTTGACCATGTACTTCCTCTGCGAATCTTATATATAGAGGAATCTATATCTTGTAACCTTAAGCATACTTTTGAGCGCTTTGCAATTTTATTCTATTACTTGACGTGATAACTACTACACATCATAAATCACAAGCTGTATCAATTTGTTATTTTTATAATTTTTGTAACATGGAAGAAACTGGTGCGCGTCTAGTAAAGTTGTGAGAAATACTTAGTTGTCACAAAAGTCCACAAACCATGTATTGTAATTTGTAAGTTGAAACTAAAATTATTGCATCCCCCGAACAAAGGTCTTGGTTCTACTACTGCATAGTTTATGTACGTTTATCTATGATGCTTCATTAACTAGAAACAAATTTTGATTATCAGAGATCATTCTAACATCAAGAATCTTGCCACCATTTTCTGATAATATGCAGGAACCATTGTAAACTTTCAATTGTTCCTTTGCGGTTCTAATGAGATCATCCATATTCTGTGGAACCCATAAAACAACTCCAGTTCTTCTGCCATCTAAATTATCCCAGGGATGAGAGGGGAACACTGTACATTTCCTTTGTTCTTGCTCTATTATAACTGAGCCTGCAAAGGAGCAAAGAAAGATTGGATGAACAACATAGAATTACACTTAAATCAAAATTATGAGAGAGAGATCCTGATAAGGTACTTCTAAAATTTGGTGATTGCATTACCTTGGTTTCTTTCAAAGGATTCAGAAAATTCTGATAACTGAGCACGCTTTGCATTCTCCAGCAGATTAATTAGGCTCTTGTTTCCACCCACTCGGGCTTCATCTACTGGAGTTTTGCCCCATCTGCAAACAACACATTGCCCCAACTAGCATTACCGATTTGAGAGATGACAGAACTGATATCAGAAGACAGGATTTGTAAGTTAGGGGAAACATGGATGCTCTGCAAGCAGAGATCAATACACTGTGTTGCAGCCAGGTTACTTAAGTATGAACTTGCCACCAAATATAATACTATCTTTGCATATATTTTGTTACGACGAGAACCAACTTACAACTGATTTTGAAAAGAATGCATACCATTTAACGTGTCAAGAAGCTGTCAGAAAAATAATAGCTGGTTTATTAATAGCTGAAATGCTGAATACTAGATCGCAAAGCCAAGCTTTGAGGACATGTTAGGCATTTGTTTGAAAAGCAGATTCTGTTCGATGAGTGATTTAGTCTATGGATTGACAGTGCTTTTTGCTGGGATCATTCTAGATTAGTGAAGTTTGTAGCTCGAGACGAACTTGTGTCTTACCTGTCTACTGAAAGGACACTGGCTCCAGCTTCTAAAAGGGAGACTGATGCTGGATATAATCCTTCTGATGCAGCAATGTGCAGTGGCGTCCTCATGTCAAAATTTTTGGCATTAGGATTTGCACCATTGAACAATAGTCGCTTCAGAAATTCTAATTCTCTGCTTGCAACTGCCTCACAGAGAAAAGTTCCAACATGATCTAGCATTAGTGTTGCCCCCGCATTGACGAGCAAGGAAGCCACTTCATCGTGCTCATTCCTGACTGCTTCCAGCAGCGGGGTGTTTCCGAAATAATCTGAGCAAGATTTGAGCTAAAATGAGTTTCCCTTTCTTCAATCTTTCATAACAAAACAATGACAATTGCGAAAGGAACATTTGCAAGAAGCTCACCTTTGGCATTGACATTTGCATCCTTTTCAATAAGGAACTGAGCTATATCTTCATAACCCTTCCGAGCAGCAACGTGCTGTCACGAAAACATGCAATATTTTTTCAAGTCATATATCATTATCAGAGTCCTTTGATTGCCCAATAAAGTTGCTTTCTAGTAGACGACGCTGGAAATTTCGCAAGATAAGCCTCGCGAAGTAACAGATAACAAGTTAGTATAATCAACATACAAGGAAAACACAAACTCTTGTTGGCTTCTGATAAGGTTAGGAAATCCAGGACAGAGAAGATTCCAATTATACAATATTGTGATATCAGGGTATTTCGGTGTTAACTTGACATACCAGAGGTGACCTATCATTGTAATCAGACATATTTGGATCTGCTCCTGCTCCAATAAAACACCGTAGTCGATAAAGATCTCCATCATATGTAGCACAGTTTAATTTCATAGCCAACTCAGATTCATGTTTTGCAATATGAAGTGTGGTCTTAGATTCCTTTATGATATTTTCTATGTTTGATTCCTTCCCCTGAACACCCTGAACATCAAAGACAATACAAAATGTTAAATTCTTCTTTCAATATTTAGAATTCCCGGAAAACAAAATGCAGAATTTGGGATCTCTTATAGGCAGACTAAATACTCTCCTAAAACTAACACGCATGCCGGTTCCAAACAGCAGAATCCGGGAAAAAAATATGAATAGAAAAATCAACAAATGGGAAAGCATGAAGCCGTGTTAAGAACATACCTCAAGGAGATTATTGATGATTATCCGGCCATCAAGAAAGTATGTATCAAGGATATCCAGGAAATGCTGCTTGTCAATTCGCAGTAGTCTACATAATTGAACAACTCGGATTGTGTATGGTATTGGGACATTACAAAGAACCGAAACTTCACCAAATGTACTGTGAGTTTCAAGACTCAAGAGTGGTTCCTCTCTTTCATTTTCATATCTTCGGACTTCATCCTACAAAAACGTCAGACTCTGTTGATAAAGGACATAGTAAAAACTATCTTTTGAGAGAAATTTGAAGGTTTCTTGTCGCATAGCCTGACTTAAATGCCATGACTCTTCTCTGTATTAGGCATGCTATTTAGAGTACTGGCGTATGGGATTTGTATATATTGATGATACCTTTCTGCAAAATGCAGTTTGTCAATATCAACATAACACTATAACTTGCAAATTATCTCTTATTTGCTCATTGAATTTGAAAGTAAGAGTCACTTTTTTCCCACATGCACTATATGCGCTGGCAAACTCACACAAAAATCCAGCCAGCTATTTCATATTTACTTCTATTTCATCCGTGATCATATATACGTGAAATAAGTTCAAATGATAAATTGCTGAACAGTAAAAGCCATACCAGTTTCCCGTGACAAACGAAGTACAGTTGATCAGCCATACTTCCTTGTTCTATAATCAGTTCTCCTGGAAGGAAAAATTCTTCATGGACATTGAGGGCCTGCAGGATCAAAGAAGTGAGAAATGCTAATTTCCCCAAACTTCACACAGAGATTGATTTTTATCTCCTCCATTTAACAAGGATTTTTGAACGGGCTTCCACTAAGCTATTATGTGAACGCAAAGAAAGCAGACAGATTAGGACTTTGCGCCCAAAGAGATAAGAAACACATTGCAAAAAATTATACTTTACCTCCAAGTGTCCTACAATCTCAGAACACTGAGTTTTTCATGGTAATTTTAGAAGGGTTTAGTTCTGTCAATCATCGTTTTTCCAATATTTAACAGCTATAAGTGACTCGTGATTGTCGGAGAGAGGGCATATTAGAGCTGTACAAGACACCACTTAGAAGATGTAGAACGACAGGACATTTGTAGCATACAATCTAGAGAACTTGACTTACCATATGATTGATAATCTCATCTGAGCATCCTTTGAGAAGAGGAACCTTTCTAATGTACGGCTCGTATGACTTTTGTGAAACCTGTAAAAGAGAAACTGTTTTTGTCAACAATCATTTAAGCTCAAGACTGCAGTTTATCAGTTTTGGACATGACTTCATGCGTTACGCATACAAGTTGCCAAA